TTTTTTTACGGCAGCAGAACCGCCGGCCAATAGAAAACTGTTGGGCGGAGCTAGCTGTCATTGCTAGCTCCGCACAATCGTTTTCTATTTTAATTTTTCTACTTTTTTTACTGTTTTTCCGTTCTGCTCGGTCCCACAGAGGGACCGAGCAGAACAGCCGAGCCGAATGCCGCTCAGCGGCATTCGTCTACTCACTCACTGCTGTTCGGCATCTTTAAGAATAGACCAATAGCAGCGAGTAGCCTGTCGGAGGTTCGGCTTAGCCGATCCAGATGCTGGATCGGCTGAGTCGAACTCCTTCTGCACTTCTGCTCAGCATGTTCGGCCAACCCGAAGTCACGCAAAGCCATCCGATGTACGGCTAATTGCAGCCGTTATACGGCTGGAAACAGCCGTACCAGCCTGAAGTGAGTAGCCGAACAGTGTTCGGCTCACTTCACTTTAGGCCGGTCATTCACTCGGCTCCCTATGGCAGCTTAGTGAATGGACCCCTTAATATAAGCGTGGCCCACATGTACAAGACTTTAATGGCAGATTGATGTCATCTAGGGACATCTGTCACCGTGCAATATTACTCTAAAATAAATATATACACAATATGTAGGCATACTATGTATGTAAATTGGGGTCACCTTTCACCATCCCTACTCCCTAAACACTTACCTTTTAAAACAGTTAATAGAGCTTGGCAGTCCATGTGGGGTGGCCCAGGATGCATGAATTCCCTTTGAGATGTGCACCTGGAGGTAGTTAGCAGCTAAGTCCAAATCTCTGTGCAGCCGCACAGAGAATAGGAGTCACAGCTTAATATGCATCAAGTCTGAGCATTTTTTGTGTTTTTTCTCTGTAAAATAATGTACTTTCCTGACACCTACATGGTAGCATACAATGGGTGTGGCTCCACCCCCAGCCCACCACAGGACTGGGCATGAGCTGAAACAAAAAACTTGATTCTGGATGGAGGCCTCCATCCAGAATCAAGCTTTTTGTTTCAGCTAATGCCCGAAATGTGGCTGCTACGCTGGGGAAGAACATGGAGGTTACCATTTTCTTCAGGTCGATTCTTCTGTTCATCTTTCTGGTGCTTTTGGATCAAGCAGATGGAGCCACAGATTAATCTCTTAGTTCGCTCTTCCGAAGGATGTTATCCTTACGGATAGAATTTAGTGGTTTACCTCCAAGAGTTTTTCTGGAACACAGTAACCTTGTATATATTCCTGTCCCATTACAGGGTCTATCCAGGAGTCTTGTCCATGGTGAAGTTGGTTCTGAATGTGTTTTACCATTGGTACAAATAAATAAATATCTCAGAATTACCCTCCCTGGTTGTGTGCTCGCTATATCCCATTGTATGCTGCCATGTAGGTGTCAGGAAAACAGAAAATTGTATACTTACCTATCGGTAATTTTCCTTTCCTGACGCCAATACATGGCAGCATACAGGACCCTCCCATGGCTTTCGTATTGAGTACTTGTTACAAGAATGGTGGCCTTGGGAGGGGGGCTTTAATTTATAGTATAACTGGTCCTGTGATTGGGCTGGGGGCGGAGCCATACCCATTGTATGCTGCCACGTATTGGTGTCAGGAAAGGAAAATTACTGATAGGTAAGTATACAATTTTCCGTTTTAATGTTGATTTCTTGAATAAAACCTGCCTGGTGTCTACCTCTAAAACAGTGGCCTAATAAAGCTGCTTACATAGGGTGCGTCATGTCTGTACAATTTTTTTGGCTTTTTTGTTTGAAATAATGAATTTAAATTTTGATTAAAACCTGCCTGTTGACTTCCACTGAAAGTGTAGGCCAGTAAAAAGTGCTTACATACTATGCATGGAATCAGTACAATATTTCAGTTTGTTTTGCTTAGCAATGTGACACAACCATGGTCAATAAAGAAGATTGAATATAATTCAAGTTGGAGTGCGAATTACTTTCTACTAGTTGCATAAAGAAGAACCGTCACTGTAAATTTGATATCACATAGGGAGCTTCTTAGCCCCCCATGTGATAACAATAAAGTTAAGTGTAAAAAAAAAAGGGAAAAGAAAGATTAAAAAATTAGTCACACATAAAAAAACACAACATAAATGTAAAGTCCACCGCCCCCATTTACACACTTAAACATGCGTTGGATGCGCCAACGTGTGACAACGATGATTGCGCTTATTACACCGCACGTGTCACATATCACCGCGAACCTCAGAGTGTGAGCAAAACTTTTAGGGTCATCAATCACTGTTAACACTAAACTGATAAGCGGCAAAGGTTTTAATGCATCGCCTGTGGCCAATTTTGGGGATGGTAGTTTTTTGGCGATTTAGCGGGCGCACGGAATTTTAATGCTTGACATTTTTGGTGTCTACCCAATGTGACCCCATCTTTTATACTTTACAATAAAAATTGGGTAATAATAAATGTTTCATAACATAATGTAGGGAAAACAGTTTTTTTTTTTTTTTTAAATCGCTACTTTTTTATATAGTAAAAAATAAAAATCCCAGTGGTGATTAAATACCACCAAAAGATGGTAGTTGGTACACGTAACTACCATACGTGTCACAAAAAAAATGCCATAAATTAATTTCAGTACAGTGTTGCATGACTAAATAAACATAATTCATGCTGAAAAATGGCCTGGACAAAAAGGGGGTTTAACAGTCCGGTCTTCAAGTGGTTAAACATCTGCAACAATACAGTATGGTACTACAAAAAAAGAAAGTTACAAATTATATTATCAAACTGCTGTGCCACTGGCCAATATGTATAAAATTAAGGGCTTTCAGCTTAGTTTTGTTAAGAGTACACTTTCCTTTACATTTTAGATCTATTGTGTCTGCTACTTCCACCACCCAATTTAGGCCTATTACTGCTGGATACAAAAATTAGCTGTCACGTCCCAAACTACCTACAAAAGCTATTTTTGTTCAAGTTATATTAAATCCAATGGGGATGCTTCTGCTTTATTTAAGCCAAGCAAATACAGAAATAAAAACAATTACACATGCAAAAAATTTGATTCCAGTATATCATGTTACTGGCATTATTCATGAGACTCACACTGTTCCAAAACACTTAAAAGGCATAAAGACATCTACTAAGCATTTATTTGAAAGAATTGGTGTATTTTTTCATGTTGTCCTCGAAGTTGCATAAAAATAAGGACCCTCTTAATGCTGATCTGTATTTTTTATATATTGTTTTTGCATTTTTCCCATGCCCTTTATTTGATTATACCTTGCCTATTAGCCTTTAAAATGGTCAGAACTGATTTTTAAGATCAGCCTCCTATAGACTTAAATGGTGTTCAGATTTAAGTTCACAATTTCTGACAATGGGTTCAACAAACGACCCGCATGCCAGCACCCAAACACGTTTGTTCATCCCTAGTCTCTAGTCAAGAGGTAGAAGGCTTCAGTTAAAGCTTATGGAGATTTTCTGTTAATTATTGGACACGGATATTAAAAGTGGGCAAAAGTTCCTAAAAAACAAAAATTCAGTACTGGAAATACTGTATGTGAAAACTTTAGATATCCATATAATAATGTTGCAAACATTTCATTTGTGCATATTTTACCTTGTATACTTCTTTTGAAGAAAGCCTTACAGCCCTCACATGACCAAACTCCATAATGATACCCAGATGCATAGTCACTACACACAGCACAGTATCGAGTCTCTTTACTGGATTCCATTGTTGGTGTTCCCTTATCATTAGCTCCAGGTATCCGATCTCTTCCATTCTGGCGCCTGTTGTCTGAACCTGATCTGGAAGAATAAGATGCATATTTTTTATTAGAAATTACACATTTAATCTGAACTCCAGTTAGGCATAACAAAATCATTCAATTTAGTTATGCAACTTTCACTCAAGTTCAAAGTTGCCAGTGGGCATGCATTGCTGCCACTCTGCACAAAATATTGTGCTATTTGTCCAGTACGTGAAGAGATGTCATAACAAGATACACATTTTATATATGGGATAAGAAAGTTAGCAGCAAATAGGAACTTATCTATTCTATTTCTAGCTGTGCTTGTATGAATTTGTTCACCGCCTGTATTTATTGTGCCAAATACCTCCAGAGCACACAAAGAGTGGCCCTACCTTGGATGAGAAAATCAACTCGGGTTTGGCCAACTGGAAGCCACAGAAATCAAAAATAAAGTTGTGTGGGAAGGGCTGCTGGAGCCAGGAGAGGTCAACACAATACACATATGCATATACATAGGAGTTACAATGGAATGCTGTAGAGGTGGCCTTAGATGAAACTGTACATTTTTCCTCTAGCAGTTTTGGCAGGGGAGATAAATGTCCCAGAGACCTCCAAGATGCAAGGATGACAGAGCTGGAGGTTTTAAGGGATTTTAAAATGTTCCAACTACAACATCACACACTTTTAAAAGGCTGAGAGAAAGTCTAGATCAGGGGTGGCAAACACAAGGCCCGCGGGCCGAATCTGGCCCGCCGGACCTTGTAATGTGGCCCGCACAGCAGCCACCTCATTTTGCCATGTCTCATGGCCCTATGTTAGTGGTGGCGAACCTATGGCACGCGTGCCAGGGAGGGCACGCGATGCCCTTTCTGCTGGCACGCGAGCCAAGGTTCAGGCACCACAACATAGATGGCGCTCCGTTCCATACCAGTGAGACCCCCCCGCCCGCCAATGATGCAGCTGCGTGATATGACCATCGTGTTCTCTCCCCCACCTCCTCATCTACCGCGCATGCGCAGATTGTGGGCCGGGGGTCGGGCAGCGCTTCGGGCGGAGAGGCAGCAGGGGATGGAGTGGGAGTGATCCGGCAGGGGATTCAGCTGGGTAAGTGGCTGCGTGTATGTGTGGGGCAGTTGCGGGGGAAGCGGAGTGCATGGTGCTGGAAGTTGCAGTGATGGTTGGTGGAAGGTGTATGCTGTGTAGGAATGTGCAGCAGCACCAGGCGTGGAATATAAACGTGTGATAAGGATGTATAGTCATCATCCAGAGGTGCAGAGATGGGCACATGTGCTGGCTGCTTGTATGTGCTGGTCCAGCCATATGTGCGATCTGGATTTATCTGTACATCTGTGATCCATGCTTATCACATTGGGCATTTCTATAATGGTGGGACAGGCATTATCTATCTATCTATCTATCTATCTATCTATCTATCTATCTATCTATCTATCTATCTATCATCAATGTCTACTGCTTTTCTTGCTAACAGGTCTTTTTCCGCTGAAGTAGAAGGCCATGCCAGCGATATGGGCAGCTTAGTGGTTGGCACTGCTAACTTGCAGCATTGGGGTCCCCCGGTTCGAATCCCGGCCTGGACACTATGTGCATGGAGTTTGCACGGTCTCTCTGTCATTGTGTGGGTTTCCTCCGGGTGCTCTGGTTTCCTCCCACACTCCAAAGACTTGCTGGTCGGTGTCTGATACGTTTCTAAAAATGGCACTATACCAAAAAGCAAAGTACTGATAACACAGGAGATCCACCCACAGAGGGATGGTACCACTATAGCCCAATAAAAAAAAAGGTACTATAGCCCAATACAAAGGGAGGGAGCCGCCTATACAGGGAGGTACCAGAGCTGGTCCAGGTAGGAAGGTAGGGGAGAGTACAGATGTGAGGAATTTTTAGGCGCAATCCTTACCCCTGCACTGTGTACGTAGCGTACTTTTGATGGTGGGAGGGCTCTTGACATCTGCTGTATTGGGAGTGGGGTGCTCTGGATGTCTGCTTATAATTATTATGAGAATAATTTAATTCCATGCCAGTTGAAAAGGAGGGTTGCAGACTGCTGGTATCGTCCACAGGAGAACTTTATTGAGGACACCATAATTACTATTACTATGATAATAAAGAGTAGATGCATAGTCCTATACAACCGGCCCTTTGAGGGTAACCATACTGCTGATGCGGCCCCTGATGAATTTGAGTTTTCCACCGCTGCCTTAGAACATTCTGAAAGGTGATAAAACAATAGGTTCCATCCACCCATATAAGCCCAGTTTTGTATTTATGAGGGCTCCCATCCTGGCCCTAAAAAATGCTCACACTATCCAAATTAAGAATAAGAGATGGAAAGAAGGTATATCTAATGGAAATAGTGGTTTGGTGCATAACAAGTATATAACAAGGAACACAAGTACATTACATTCAAGGAACAGACTTCTGGGCAATCGAAAAGGTCCACAGAGATTCCATAGAAGATTTTATTAAGACAATGTCCAAAGCAATGGATGTTCAATATGATTTCTCTAAGACCCTGGGGTCTTAACCCTGTTTATGTACGTTAGTGCATTTTTTGCATACACAATAATTTTTTTAAATAAAAACTATAGAATAGCTAATAGGAGTGTGGACTTTTTTAAGGGGGACCGGAGATCATCTTTATCCTACAATGTAGTGTAAGAGATAAAAAATAAATAATGCATCCTATATATGTATATCCATTAGGGAGGATCGGGATCCGCTCCAGGTGCGGCGTCTCAGTATACCGCGAGCTGTAGCTCGCGGTATACGGAGCTTAGGGTAACGGGAGGATGCTAGTTTGTGTCCTCCCGTTACCCTAAGGAGAACTATGGGGAAAAACACTGACCCCATAGTTCTCCTTTAAGCATCAATCTAATATGCTAATCTAACACGCTTCTGTCCACAAGTATCTGGAGTTATAGGAGACTCTTCAAGGAAGCAGTGGTGCCATGCAATGAAGCAAGAACATAAACATCACTAGTATGACTGAACAAAACTATTTTGGCATATAAAACTGCTCACAAAAACATTTCAATACGATTTTTCTGCAAACCTCTCTACCAAGAAGCCTTCTACATCATTATAAAGGAAATTGTGGATCGATTACAATATATCTGGTGCAATGTGCACATGCATGTTGTCACAGCTTTTCAATCCAGGTAAATGTAAAAATATGCAATGTAACATAAAAAGAACTCCATCCAATAGGTCTAATTACTGCATCGTACACCTGGTAGGCCCTCCTGCTTTGATCCAGCAGTTTGAAAGCACTGTATTTACCAGTCCTCTGCCAGCTCTTTTAACAATTTTAACAAAATAAATATTTATTCACTCTCTCTATATAAGAGCCTATTTTAGTCAACAAGCACAATACAAACAAAATGCCCAAATATTGCTTTTGTGACAGATTTTTAATGATGCTTAAAACTTTACATAGCAAAATGTAGTTATTGTTTAAAGTCAAGTAGATCTCTACAAGATTATACTTTTCTTTTTTACGGAGACTTCAGAATGAAATCTGCCTTCATGGGAAAACATTCAAAAAAACCTACACTGACTGACTTACAGGCCTATAACTCAAATATATCCTTATACATTTATAGTACTTAAAATGTTATTTATTATTGGGAGCATTGGTGTGGATATTGTACAACAAAGAATATACAAAAAAGACATTTATAGTTTATCTCCAACATGTAATAAAATAAATATACTAAGGCAGTAAATTTTAGCAATATAAATGTAATGAGCTCACTTTGACTACAGAGCAGATGGGCAATTGGGTAAAGAATGTAAAAAAAATTAACTGTTAACAATATATCTATATATAACAAGCATGAAGCGCTGTGGTTTCAACTATCATCACTACGTCATTACAGGACACAGTAGTGTCCGCTAGAACCACAAGGCACTGTGGGGAACCAGACATCCTACACACGTGATGGTATTTTGGATGCTGAATATTCTTCTGTGGCTACCAGTAAGTTAAAATAGGATCAGTGCTATTGGACTGGTAAGTATTTTATTCTTCTTTTGCAGTTTGCATTTTCATATGCATTTTTTTGGTGAGGGTTCCTTTAAAGCTGAGCTCCAGGCAAATAGGTAAACACACAAATGAAATACATATATGGAAGCTGCTTTATCTGCCAAAGGATTTGTATTTTTGGTTATCCTGAGAGTTACACAGCTCTGCCACTCAGCACTGAATAAACAGGGGGGATATCCAAATGCAACTGAGGGTTTGGCAAAAGCAACTAGGAGATCCAAAAAGTGGAGATCCTACTGCTAGAGTATCTGAAGGAATCAATGGTTGAAAGAAAACTAAATAAAGAAGGAGCAACCAATTTGGAGATTGCCATGACCAAGGGCAGGGCAGCTAGGATAAACCTGCTGTTCCAAATCAGAACAGATAACTCCACTAAGAGGAGAAAGTGCTACCAGAAAGCAATGCATTTTAGTCACTTAATAGAAGACTATTATCCACCAAAAAAACAGGTGGAACACCACACCACCTTACCAGAAGAAAGAAACTAGACCAACAACTAAGGTGATCAATAAAACATAGTGCTTACTAGACCAAGCCTCAGAGTGAAAAGAGACATACCATGTCCAACAGTGAAAAAAATATTTGGACAACTGCAGGAAAGGCGAAAGCCTATCATACCTAACCCTTGATGCCAGCTAGGAATTTTGGACTGATAGAAAATGTAGAGTAGGTGTTGAATCCAATAAAGGTTGGAGTACCTCTGGCACATCCACAGATCACCTGCATTGAAGCATGCATAAAGTTCAACCCCCGGAATTAACATTGGCATTGACTTGACATTGTCAAGGGCAGGTCTGAAGAGATGCCCTTCCTTAAAAGGCAAGTGAATCAGACTTTTTTTGGCATATCCTCAGCATTCCAGGCATGTAGCCAAAATGCCTCACACATGTGAACAGATAGCAGGGGGAGTGGGTGGGCACAGTTGCCTCTGGCTCTAGGGAGGCAGAGCCAGTTGTCAATCTGGCAGCTGGGTGGATCCCAACAATATT